AAATAGAGACCGGTAAATAACTCGGAATTAGTCTACTTTATCTCCTGAAGGCGTCAACTTTCTTGGTGAAACACGTCTAGAAGAGTGTTGTAATTCGGGTGTTTGGGAATGGTGCTGGTTTTGGATTAACTGTGCATTACCTTCAATATTTTTATAACATAAATCGAATGTGATCTTTGCAATTTGATGAACTTCTATTCACCAAACTGAAGAAAGATGGATAGTTATTTTATTCAAGAAAACTGAATATGAAACAGTCTAGGCTAGACAATATGATATAATCAACAGAAAGTGAATATCGGTCATTGTATTTGTAGTGAGTAACAGAATGTTGATAGACTGTTGTCGAATGGAACCCGAAGTAACAAACATTTCGTCTGCTACTGCGGCAGTCATTATCAGTGGTATGTGAATCGACTGTTAGCAACTACTGAGTCAGTTGTTGCTGAGTCAGTTGTTGCTGAGCCTTCGATATTTTCATGATACAACTAGAATGTGATTTTGAAATTTTGACGCTGCCGAAACAGCTCGAAAAATTAATCAGGTTTGGCAATGATAATTTTGTCTGAAGTTGGTTTGCGGAATTTTGTTTCCGAGATTTCAGCTCCTGAGATGAATCCTGAAGTGGTCGACCTAAAGTAATCCAGGACGAGGATTTGAGGACCTTGGTGGAGACTGAACCGTCACAAACCGTGCGTGGGATGGCGTAAGAACTGTGCGTCCGCTCTCAAGCGATTTAAAGCGTATTGGAAAGGTCAGAAAGCTCGAAAAAGGATTTAAAAGATCGACAGAAATTGTCACGTTTCGGGGCCTGTTCTTCTTTGCATTTGAGCATCCAAAGCGATAATTTTTTAAATCGAATCCTCACTTGATGAAAAGTGAATCCTCTACGACAACGGGACAGTGGTTGGACACCAATGAACCACCTAGGCACCTTCCAAAGGCGAAAACCCACCAAAAAAGACCATGGTTACTATATGATGGTCAGCGGCTGGTCAGCACATCCATTCGTCAAATTGAGGAAAGGTGGATAGTTGTTTTGTTTATTAAAACTGAATCTGAGACACTCAGTGACGAGACAATATGGTATATAATCAACGAAAGTTATTATCGGTCATTCTATTCGTAGTGAGACATATTTTGATCAAGAGAACTAAATCCGGATTGATATAGGCCGTGGTCGAAAGGAACCTGACGTATCGAACGTTTCGTCAGCTACTGCGGCATACATCATCAGTGGTATGTGCGTTGACTGTGAATACGAAGGTTATCTCTTGAAGTCTCAGCAACGACTCACTTATATTTTTTCATGAAGAATTGTATGAAGTTGAAGGTTTGGATGAATCAGTTCGTTCGCCCGATTAGACGACAACCTTGATACTCGTACGACAATTTGAAAAATTGTGCTGCTTCTGAAGCATTACAATTCGTTACGTAACAAAACTTACCCAGAACACTGTATTGATTATTAGATCAATCGATTTCTTTGCTACAAAGAATAGAAAATGTGCAATTTCGTATTTCTAAAAACTGTACAAGAAAAATGTTGTTTGCATTTTATTGGAATGTACGAGCTATATCACGATGGTGGCGTTTTACTTTATAGCGTGCCTTTCACATATCATTTCGGTACGTATACAGATAATGTTCTGGATTCAATAAAATGCAGCCTTTACAGCTCGTCATATACATATATGAATATTTGAGTGAGACTTTTATATTCCGGATCCCAAGAAATCGAGGCAGATCTTGCAATGAATGGGAAATATCGATAAAAAAGCATTGTGTGTGAATGGAAGGGTTTATCTTCTTGGCACTCCTCACTACACTACACTACTGAAAATTGACAGGTTATTGATAGGTTATTGTTACAATTAATTGATTTTTTTCATCAGAATTACATTTCGGAACTTTCCTTCGTTTAGAAACTGAGAATCCTTTCTCGGTTAGATTTTTTGATTTCTTTGGCGTATACTTTTCTGATTTTGAAGAATGATTGAAGTTTTGTATAGTCGGCAATATCAGAATTGTGGTTGATGCGTAGAGCGGCTTAAATCATCGAAAATTGTGTGGCTGTCTTATATTTCTTGGATGATCACCAACACAACGTTTTCAGGGTATTTGAATCTCCCAACTACAGACACTTTGTATGCTGCAGCATACCTATATTTATATGTCTGTAGTGAAAGATCTAGCGACAAATGTTTCACTGTGTCTTCAATTTTGAAGAGAGTATACTCCAATTTCTCCTCAATGCATGCTAACTGAACTTTTTATTGCAGCTTTGAGGTCCTTGCAAAACAAAAAAATGTCGTTAAAAGAATAAGTATATGAATAAAATATCAAGTAGACCATACTTTTAACACAGTCTGAACTCTGCGGAAAAATATCACGCAGATGTATGTAATTAGTCACTTTTAGACTTTGTTTCCCTTGCTCATTGGTGTTTTCTTAGCAGCCGTAGAAAAAGGTATTTTCGTTCGATCAACCAATCTAGCTCCTGTCTCACGAGGCACAACATTGAAGCTGCTTCTCTTTATAATAGTTATTGGTGATATTGGAAATTCATGTGTATCTCCACAAAAAACAATAATATATGCTGATGGTATCTATCAAATAGTAGCAGAAAATGAACTTATTCTCTCTGTTTAAGCTGCAAATAGAACTACTGGTGAATTTTCACAATGGTGCACAAATAACGGTCCACTTGTTAATGTAAATGAATTTGTTTTCATGAATCAACAAAATATTCTTCCCAATGATCTTTGTCAACTGATAAAAATAGATCACATATCTATAGAGCAGGTGAATCGATATAAGTTTCTAGGATTAACGATTGATCAGACGTTAATTTGGCGAGTACACACATATTATCTAATCTCAAATCTGAGTAGAGTCTGCTTCGTAATAAAACAACTACATGGGACAGTATCTCTACAAGTACCCACACTGGCCTATTTCGGACTAGTAAAATCTAATATCGAAACTTTACATAATTGATTGTAAAAAAATAATTAGATGTATCGCTGGCATACACTGTAGACAATCATGTAAGACAACTTTCAAAGATCTGGCTATTTCAACACCACCGTCTTTATATATTTCACTTATAACTTTGAATATCAAAAGAAACGGATCACACCAAACAAAAAACAGTATGATAAACACAATACTCGCCAACAACTGAGACTACGTTATTCACGATTAGCCCTTGGGCAAGACTCATCAAGCTTTCAAGGAGTCGTATGTTATAACAAAGCAACTAGGTTACTAGGAAATATTGAAAACTACAATGAATTCAAAAAAGCTCTGATGGACCTTCTCTTGGAAAATGCCTTTTACAATGTCGAATGATTTTTAGAGACTTGAATGTATAACCTGACTTTTTATTCTGTTTTCTTCTGTTTGTATTGACTAGTCTGATAAATGTAATTTTTTTATTGCTTAACTGATTTGTTAGTTCTTTATATCAGTATATTTTTCTCATCCTTTCTCTTTTGTTCACCAAAAATCAATTGAAACTAAAATGCACTAAGTGCTCTTTCCGATTCCAAGCATAAATTTTCTTCAATAAAATAAGTGCTATAGAAAAGGATATCATATTGTCAGAAATTATGATTCCTCTAGATCCAGTCGATTAATATATTGGGGTTCGAATTGAATACCAATATATTTTGGAAAATGAGGACAGCTTCTGAGAAACTAGAAACACTTCTTTGAACTAAAAGGTATGAACCCAATAGGTACGAAACATCAAAGAAATATATTTCTCTATTTCATAGAAACTCTCACGTACATTGGTCGATTTAGTTAGTCCAAATCATTTTTGCAAAAGCGGTTTATCGAAAGTAGGTGACAGTCTATTTTTACGCATCGCTTCTAAATTCGACTTGTATACACTCCTCTGTATATCACACCTCCAGAGTTGCTGAAAGTATCAAAGTATCACATTCTCGAATATATCAAAGTATATATAGGTTTCAGGAGAACAAGATGGAATTCTGAAACGAATTGCTGCAGAAACTATTTTGTAAACTCTCATCGTGGATAAAAATTCGTGAATCTTTGTTCAAGAATTTTGAAAAGTTCTGAAAGACTGACTAGGTGAAGTATTTAATATGGGATAATGGTAAATTATCTAAAACGTTAAAATGTCCTCAGGCACTGAACAAATATTATTTGAAGATACTGTAATCAATAAGGCATTGAAACTGTGAACTACTCTTCATTCAATGTGGAATATAGTTTTATAATAGCTTTTCTAGGTGTATCTTATTTCATAACTAGCGATCCGCCCCGGCTCCGCACGGGTGCAATGCTAATACTAAATATAAATATGAACACGTGGGATCGCTGCTAATCGTAAAGTGCTATAGGGGGAAGCCCGCCCTTCGACATGCTATTTTTGGGGACGCGCCGCCGGCCCGCCGGCCGGTACGGCCGCAACCACCATGTGCCTGCATTTTGAATCTGTAATATCTTCGAAAATATTCATTTGATGTACGTGCTGTAAATGGCCATTTGATCTATATTGAATGCGCAATGTATTTAAAGTACTTGATTGGATAAGGATTAATGTTCTATTGCTTAAAATCGCTTCGTAAATGAGTCATTATTTTTTGAGGATAAAAAATGGTTATTGTAGGTTATCCCTAAGAGATGGACATATACCATTGATAACTTTTTTATAGATCTTTTTTAAGATGTACAATACTGTAGAACAATTTTTGATCTATATCGTAGGGGTCAGCTAGCGTTTGCAATGTAAGCGCAAAAAATGTCTTTATTTACGACATCGCAGGTGATGGTGTATCTTTCTGCTTGACTGACTAACGGGCTCGGGACGGGTGGGAATACCGATTATTTTTCTACTCAAAACTTTCGTAATATTATTTCTGATTTGATTTGCCTATATTTCAATGAGCACTGTTTTTGTTGAATACCCAAGTATCATTTCTGCTATTAGTAAATAGTATCATTTGAAAAATAGAAACAAAGAGTCGACAACGAAGTCTTTATTTTATGTTTAAATATTACATTAATATATTACATGATGAAAACAATGACACTTATATGCAACTCTCCTGTATTCGATTCGACGTGGTAACAACTTCTGGACCCCTATATTTATGTGAGAGGGTTTGTGCGCTAGACATGGTTGGCAGCCCTGTCCGGCTAGGCCTCTGCAGACTTCTATAGATCTGTAAAAAAAACGAAATTGAAGGAAACGAATTTATATTCCTTGTGTAAAATTTTGTTTCGTAACAGTTTGGTTCAATCTCATACTCGTGGTATAAAGGACAATTAGAGCAATATTTGTCAATAAACGGAATAAAGGAGGAAGAAAGAAGACAACATGGGCTATATGTGCAACGAAACGGCATATCAGTTAATAAATAGTTTATGTTTGCCGAACAAACCGTCAGAAGCTTTGTTCTGGTTCTAACATCCGAAACTGTTTGGAAACTACGCAAGGCATGATGCGTGCAAACAAAAAATCTCAAACAGTCCGAAATAGTCTCGGACACTTGTTTAAACCAAAACTTCGATGCTATGACTTATCGGAATATATATGTGTATAGGTTCGTTCTGGTTCTAACATCCGAAACTGTTTGGAAACTACGCAAGACATGATGCGTGCAAACAAAAAATATCAAACAGTCCGAAATAGTCTCGGACACTTGTTTAAACCAAAACGCTTTTGAGGAGACCACTGTGCCACCTATCAAAGAAAAAAAAAAGCGATTTATTTCCAACAGGAGTACCCAGTTACTCTCTATTATTACAGAGTATATATGGAATGAATAAAATATATAAATGTATAAAAGTAAATGCTAAAACAAAGTATATATAAAATATTCGTAGAAGTAGAATTTCAAAGAGAAATGAAAAATTGAGCATATTACACAAAAAGTTACAAATCATGCAATGTAACAATACTGACACAAAAGTTATTTATAGCATTATTAAAAGTGATTGTGGATACAAGACACCAAGGCGTTCAGAGAGTCGAAATGAATATCGCAGTGTTCACAGATTTTACTGCACATGAAATTCAATGGGGATCGTAGCATAATATTTGTGCGTGATGCTTCGCAATAGAATTTTAGATTGTGTCGACCTTCACTTCTTGGTACTAGAAAATTGATCTCGGGTAAAAGAACCGTACTGTCAATATTGTTGTTCAGTAATTCATCCAGGAATTATATACCAAGGATAAGTCTCCTATTTTCCAAAGACGTCATATCAAATCGTGTCAACAATATGTTATGATCGATGCCTCTCGTGGGGTATAGACCATCAACTTTTAGACATAAGTATCTCAGGAACTTCCTTTGCACGGTCTGAATTATACAAGTATACACTTCTGAAGTACTTGGTGAATCCATTGACAAGTGTACGAATTTCACACAGCTTTCAGACTATTAGTTTGTGGGATTCAGCATTTTTTCAATTAGAGTAAGCAGTTGGTTAGAGAGTCCCAATTTTGTCAATTTGCTGAGAAGAACGTAATGATCTATTTGATCGAAGGCCTTTTGAAAGTCTAAATAAACAACATCGACTTGTTTTTGCTTGTCCAGGTACGTACAGAGATATTGATTTAAATATGCAAGATTTGTCATACATGATCTTTGTTGTACGAAACCATGCTGATTTGGTGAAATAACTATTTGAATATGAGAGTATATAATATTTTGCACACATATCTCGTTTAGAAAAGTTACATAAAATTGAAATTGCCCTGTACTTTGTGATATCGGTAGAGTCGCCCTTTTTAATATCGGACAAATTCGAGTCGTTTTCCACTGCTCAGGGAAGGCACAAGTTGATAAAATTAGGTTGAATATGCCTATTAGAGGTATAGAGAGAACGTCGATACAGTCCCTTATCGCAAGACTAGGAAATTTTTTGAAGCAGTAATAATATTGATTTTAGGTAGGGATGTTTAATGTATCTAAATCAGAATCATGAGAATCTTCACGAAGCATATTCTTGTCCGAAACCAAGTATACACTTCTGAAGTACTTGGCGAATCCATTGACAATATTCTCAGGAGTACGAATTTCACACAGCTTTCAGACTATTAGCTTGTGGGATACAGCATTTTGAGTGAAGCAACTTCTGTAAGTTTGAAGAAAATGGATGAAAAGGAATTTAGTTTGTTGATAAAGCATTGCTTCTTGGCGAAAAAAAATTGCTGAAGCCAAGGCTTGGCATGCTTGACAAACATTATCCGAACTTTGCCCCAGGAAAAACAATCGTTGCGAAGTGGTTTGTCAAGTTTAAATGAAGTGAAATGAGCATTGGAGACGATACAAGCAATAGACACCCCCAAAGAAAACATGAAAAAGTTCAATATGGGTGCCGTGCGAGCTCACAATCGACCAAAAATAACAATGAATTGATGATTCTGAGCAGTGTTTGAAGCTGTACCACCATAAAACACCCGATATGTCCATCGATATGTGACAATGGATGAAATATGGCTCCATCATTTCACAACAGAATTAAAATAATAATTATCTGAGTGGACTGCACGTGGTGAACTGACTCTAAAGTGTGCATATACGCAACAATCGGCTGACAAGGTTTATAATACGCATGTGATATTTGTAATATTTATCGACTTGAAAAAGGAAAAACCATCAACAGCGAGCATTACATAGCGTTATTGGAGCCTTCGAAGGACGAGATCATGAAAATACTGCCCCATTTGAGAAAAAAGTTGATTGCTGTTTCATCAAGATAATGCACCGTGTCACACATCAATGAAAAATATGGAAAAATTGCATGTATTAAGCTTAACATTGCTTTCGCATCCACCTTATTCTACAGATCTATCCCCCAGCAACTTTTTTCTGTCCTTAGATTTCAAGAGAATGCTCGCTGGAAAGGAACTCAGTGCCGTTGAACAGGTAATCGTTGAAAAGGTAATCGTTGAAACTGATGCCTTTTTTTAAAAGCTTTCATTTAACTTGACTTGTATGTATGTTAACAAATCTTGCAAGTTCAATTTGACATACTTCCCGGTATCCGATTGACCTGAAATTTTGTATGCGGTCCAGAACCGATGACAATGCATGTTAATCATAAACGTAACCTGATGCTACTGCCAGGATCGGCTCTGTAGAGATCTCCTCAGCGGTAAATAGCAGGGACACGGTGAGGCCGTACCGAGGACTGAGTGGCATCAGGGTGTAAAATGATGTCGTGAATGTACCACCTCCGGGCACCGGAGCGCACCCTGTTGTATATTAGCTCTTACCCTGTTAAACGAAGCTCTGGAAGGAGGAGTAAGTACCTACCTACTTCTATAGAATATAGTTCATCCTAATAATAGTTTTCCCCGTTCCTTAAGTTTTTCTGTTGAAGGACTCTCCGTTTTATAGATTGACTTTCGTATTAATCGATAATTATAATAAAAGCTTGTCACGATAATTTCAATTTGTAATTGAAATTTTGTAATTAGGTAGGCACCTACTGAACTTCTAAGCAATTCATAATATTTTCAATTGAATAAAAGTGCCGTGAATGCTTAAAATGAGGAACTTCAACCTTGAATAACTTTTTTGCACGCATAGGATTTATCAGGTTTGAATTTTTTTGCAGTAGCTAGTTGAACTGCCAGAATGTTTCTTAATTTAAATTTCATCTGACTGAATATGTAGAGATTTCTTGTAGGCATCGCGACAAGTTTTTATTATAATTTCAATTCTGTAAAGTGGTTAATGTGATTTAAAATTTTATTTTGATTTTTTTAGGGCACTTGAATAAAAGCTTGTTTCAACAGTTTTTTTATCATAATTTTATTTGAAGCTAAAGACACATCGGGCTATGAACATGGTATCGAAACGTTTCAGTCGAACTGAAACTTTTTGGGTCGAGTAGTGGTCGTAAAGATTATTTTCTGGAATATTCTCAGCTGAATGCATGTATATAACAACAAAATATCGACTCTCAAGTTGAATACATTTTATTAACTGATTGACGATACATTTCAGAACATTTGTTTGAGACTATATTATACGGAAGTCGTGTTTGTCAACAATAGTCGACCTACCTGAAGCGGGTAGATACCTCACCTGTACGTCGCGTATTCTTTTCGATTTCTTTGAAAATCAAAATAACGTTTTCATTCGTATTGAAATATTATACAGAAAACTTTCGATTATGATTTCGGGTTTTCTGGATATAATAAGTGAATTGTTCTTATTCAAGGAAACTATTCAATCGAAAGATTGTTGTCTTATTTTCGTAGAGTTATGTGAGTCAGTGACGTGTGGCAATCCATTTTTCATTTCGGTCTCTCACATCTGTTCATTACATTTGTGAGTTTTAATGTGATTTATAAATTCATTCAGGTTGTCTCAGTAGAGACAAATTGAACCTGTGAATTTCTGTAGAAAAATTTATGACAAGTTTTAATATTCAGTGATCTCTCAATATATAATTCCATTGGTTCAATTCTATTGGGGCATTGACAGTGACTGAAATTGTGAATAATTGCATCTAGATATTAATCGGTTTATCGCTGTTAACTTCCTTCTGGCTTTTAACTTTTCCATCATGTTTTCGTTCGAAAGGAAATGATCATCACGAAGAACCGAGCTTGAAAGAAATGACAAAAATTAGTTTTGAAGCTACGAAAAATCTGTATATTTGTTCAATTTCACGCAAATTGATCATAGAAAAACGAGTTCGAGAAGTATACAAATAAACGATTACATTCACATACCGTCTGACTGGAGGGGACATGTGTCATTTCTTTGGCAACGTGTCTGAAGTCATATTCCTCTCCTTCTTCTTCGAGGTCTTCTTCTTCTCTGACCCCAGGCGGCTCATAAACTTTCATGAATCCATGCATAGGACGCCTTTCTGAAAATCAAATGATTTCAGTGTTAATTTTGGGTATATAGATTCACGTGGAAGCTTCATTAAATATAATAATCAGATCGGGCCTTCCATTAGCATTGGAAACGGTAGCGTGAACACACAAACATGCAACACATTATCCCATGGGCCTCTTCTCATTTTACCTCTTCGCTTTCTCTTAATATCATTCGCTGATTTTATGTCAGAATGATGTGACTAAAATTTTGTGGATTTGGAGGTGAATACAAAAAATGCACAGTTCTGAGTTACTTTTTATCACTTCACTATCTTTTTTCAAAAGATAGTGAATTATCATCTATAAGGTGATTTGAATAATTTGAATCTCTCCTGTGGTTATCAAAGCTCCTTTTATGTTCTAGAATGCGGGTTTGAATGGATTGTTTTCCTTTGTTGGTGTCAAGTGCTTCTGAGAAATTAAATTTTGAGCTTTTTCTTTCTGAATGTAAAATTTCAAAATTTGGATCAATATCATCTATTAGGTGATTTGAATAATCTGAATCTCTCCTGTGGTTATCAAAGCTCCTTTTATGTTCTAGAATGCGGGTTTTGGAATTTCTATAAGTGTTACCGACATATATTTCAGGACCATCTCCATATTTGAATTTGTAAACCTCAGATTGTTTTTGGATCTTGTTTTTGGATGGAGTAGACTTCTCTGATAGCAATAAAACATCTTTTTTTTTTGATGATTTGATTTACATTCAATAACGTCCTTTACAGTAGTAAACATGGCCTTATCATTGGTAAGTGACCCCTTGAGATCCCTACAATTTAGGAATTATTATCAATGTACGTACACCCCCTCAGCAGAAATATTCTATATTGGTATAGATATGTAGACGATATTTCAATTTATTACACAGGAACACGAGCAATACTTGATAATCTTGAGAATTGGATCAATATTCTACACTCCAATATCACAACTCAATTGATTTTCTAGACCTCACGATAACAAGAGTAGACAATAGTCATAGCTTTTTCATCTACCATTATCTATCTCACAAAGACATAACCATTCATAAGTCTTCATTACATCCCTATCAGCATATAACACCATATTTTTGATGTACTGTTTGGAACCTTTGGTGCAGTAATGAATATTACTGGAGTTCTTTCCCAACACCAAATCATTATTTTTAACACTTCGACACGTGGTTCGATCACCAAGTGATCATCTTCAAAGAGGAAGATTAAAACTAGAAACTAATGTGAGTTAACCCTATTTATGTTATATCTGTATCCCATACAGGTAAACCATCCAGACCTATACCAAAGAGCATCTATATAGCTTGTAAAAATAAAATAATGTTGTTGGGTTTACTGATTACTACATAAGGACACATTGCAGAAATAAATTTGGATAGACAATATTGTGGAATTAATTTTGATATAGCTGAAAATTGTTTTATATAAACATATATTGTAAAATAATAGATAAGGCAAAATTGTAAAATTAATTTTGGTTGGTATACCTGTATGGGATACCGATATAGCATAAATAGGGTTAGTTCGCATTAGTTTCTAGTTTTAATCTTCCTCTTTGAAGATGATCACTTGGTGATCGAAACACGTGTCGAGGTGTTAAAAATAACGATTTGGTGTTGGGAAAAACTCCAGTAATATTCCACATATAACACCATGATACATACACTACTGAATATCCCTATGTCAGTCTACAACTTCATTCTTGAACATAAAAAAGCTTTGATAACCACAAGGGACATACTATAAATAGTAATATATTATGGATATTTCGAAAATAAGTGTTATTTCATTTAACTCCTGGTAATTATGGATATCCATCAACTATAAATGAAGTCCCCGTGGAGCGCCAATTGATTTTTATTGTTGTTTTTATTTTTATCTTTGTTTTATAATTTCACAATATTCATCATAATAATAATAGAGTAATTAATATATATTCAATAATTTCTGATTTGATATATCTGCCATACATCGGAATATTGAGAATGAAGAGAAGATTAAATAGCCATCGGATTGTCAGACAGTGGCTAATTTAGATTTTCAATCCTTTGAATATCAAATTCAGAATTTCATCAATACTCACAAGAAAAACACTACAACAGAATTTAAGATTTTTACTACTAGAGGTTTTACAAAAACTGAGACGCGTGTTTCGTATAGGTACAAAAGCTTCCTCAAGAAGGACTGCTCGAGGAAGATTCATAGTGAAAATAGTAAGTACTGTAAATTGTGTGAGTTTTAATGAAGATTTGAATCAAGTGTCGGTCAATTTCATGAAAATTTTCAATTACATATATTACATTTCTCATAGGTGAGATTTATTACTACTTCGAGAATTTGAATTTACACAGAAAAAAAGCAAAGAAATGAAATTCGCCGCTTTCTCACAAATATATTTGAGAATTTGTGAAGTGGACATTGCCACTGTTTTATAAACTGTTACGTGCAAATTTACAAATGAAGTATTGTAAAATACATTTTTGTGAAAATTAAAAAGAACATATGTGTTTGGAACTAATTTGCAGATGACTCTCATGCTGCACTCACATAGATACTTTGTCAGCATGTATGATGATTGGCTTATAGAGTGCTAATGAATAGGTTGTCCATTTTATTCGATTCATTGAGTCTTCTTTCAACTTCTTTCAACTTCTATCTCTGTGAATACTCATTCACATTTTTTTCGAAATGAGTGTCACTTGAATCAGTACACTTTTGCCAACGTAACACAAGTCGATTGATTACGTCAGCATGAAATTTGCGTGCTCAGGATTAGATGAAGTCGATGAAGGCCGCTTGGTCCTGATTGGCGAAGAACCTATAGGTGATTCAGTTATCGTAGTGCTTGAAAATATGGTAGTCGGTTGGCGAAAGATCTGGGGAGTATGGAGTATGGAGATAGAACTTCGACCCTTGATTCATTAAATTTTCGGACGGTAATTTGTGAAATGTGCGGATGGTTGTTGTCGTGTAGCGGGATCGGACCTTCACTGTTAACTAGTGCCGGATGCTGCTGACGCAATTTTTGGTTGATTTCCTTCCAATAGAATTCTGCTGTGATGGTTTGGCCGGGTTGCAGAAATTATAGTGAACCACACCAGCCGCTGACCACCACACAGTAACCATGGTCCTTTTTTTGGTGAATTTTTGGCCTTTGGGAAGTGCCTGGCTGGCTCACCGATGTCTAACCAATGTTCTAAAAGTCTCCTACTGTCGTAGAGGATCCACGTTTTATCACATGTGACGATCCGATCGTTTTGGTTGCCCAAAAGCAAAGAAGAACAGACGTTGAAAAGTAACAATTTCTGTCGATCGTTTAAATCGTGGGGCACCCACTTTTCGAGCTTTTTGACCTTTCCAATACGTTTTGAATCATCCAAAACCGCATGAAATGTTATGCCCGGTTTTTCCGCCACTACACGCACCGTTTGTGATGAGTCATGTTCCACCAGGGTCGTCAAATCCTCGTTCTGGATATCTGTAGGTCGACCACTTCGAGACTCCTCTTGGAGGCTTAAATCTCCGGAACGACATTTCGCAAACCAACGAATAATGCCTTCATTAATACTAAAATTTGCTCAATGCCTGGTTGATTTTTCGGGCTGTTTCGGCAGCGTTTTGGTTCAGTTTGAATTCGATGAGAAAAATTGGCAGGAACTCGCTCAACAACTTCATATATTTACGAGCTGAATGGAGGCTTTGACCACCCTAATATTCTTCTCAACTCAGATAAATCTGGTGGTTCAGTTTTCTATAACAAACTTTTCACATATCGCCATAAAAATAATTCTGAAATTGGACAAAAGCGATGGTGATCATTTTTTTATGAGAACGTACAGTTCCTCTCTGATATTATATTCGCAATATGATTTTTCCGTGATAGAAATATTGATTCCGATCAGACATACACTCATGAATTTATTACACGTAGCTCTAGAATCAATATTTTTTCAATTCAGCTATGACCCGACCCACTGAAAATATTGTCCTACCTGTACAAGCAAAACGATGTCATGCTTTGATGAGCTAGAAAGATGAGTCACTTTTATAGTCTCTAATTTAATCCGTCTAGCAGAACAATAGGGCCTTGTATTTTCTCATAATTTGCTTTGTGTTTTGAATTAGGGTTATCTGCACAGAAATTTTCGTTGAAGTAGCATGAGAGTAATATACTTTCTTGCACTTTGGAGAAAATTTGAAACAAATATATTAGTTTTGGAAGATAAATAAAAGTAATATCGGAACATTTGTTGCTAGCCATTACGAATTGACGTCAAAATGAATCGTGGAACTTTTGGGATATTTCATTCTAAGAGCTAAAGGATTATTTTTCATCATGCATTATCACAAAATATCTGGTTTGAATTGAAAGGAGTATATTTTAAGGAGATAATAATTTTTTAGGAAAAAAAGGTTTTGGCTCGGTGTTGACAACAAGTTGTTCATTTACAAACGAATAATAAGACCAGTTATGTTGTACGTCTGTTTCCTATTGTACAGGCTCAAAAAAGCTCCTCCAAAGAGACTCGAGACCATGCAGAATAAGGTGCTCCGTATTTATTTATTTATTTATTTATTTACCAATATAGGGGTTACAAACAGATTAACAAATCCAATAGAGAACGAAGTATAACATAATTCTTATAAGAGTGACAGACTCTTCAGAAATCATCACAACTTATCAATGAACATTTTTTTCATCCTGCGTTTGAAACAGTCTAAAGAGATTTCAAAATATTGAATATCATTGCAAATTTCGTTAACGGTTTTAGGCATTCTATGAAGTGGTGAATTTTGAGCAGTACTTTTCTTTGTGCAAGTTAACTTAAAGAATTCTGTACGCTTCAACTTTCTACCCTGAACATTGAACTCGATTTTGGAATACAGCTCTAGGCAGTGGACTAATCCTTTCATCAACTTGAAAATCATGATAAGATCCGTAACAGTTCTACTATCCTTCATAGGCATAATACTGTATTGGCGCATAATGGGACTGTAATCGCTATTCATAATTGGAAAATTTAATTTGTGACTAATGTAGCGAAGAAATTTGTTTTGAACTATCTCAATACGATCTATGTTTATGTGGTACTGAGGATTCTAAACAACCGATGCAAAGCAGAGCCATGTACATATGAATATTATAAATTGAGTAGAGGTTTTGCCGTTCTGAAATTTTGACAGTTTCTTTTGAGGAATCCAATAATACTATTAAATTTATTGATGGTTTTTTATGTATGAGAATTGAATGACAACTTCGAGTCTATAATTATTCCCAAGTCTTCAACTTCTGAAACTGATTTTGGGTCATGATTTTCAAAGTAATAATTATTTCTGATCATATTTTTGTTCATGGAGAATGAGATCCACATTTTTGTGGATTGAGAAACAAATCATTATCATCACAGAATTTTTTGCACGATTAGTGACAGATGCATTTAATTGGATGGTCTGTTAGATCTGGCTGAAGTTGAGACGGTCACAGATCATATCAGGAAGCTGTGTTAGATTTTTGTTTTAATCTATATATAAGATCTCATTGACCAGTCTACTGTGCCTGTGCGAAAGTAGCGATTCACACTGGATTTGAATCGCGGGAGATTGAATCCATTTGGAAAAACGTTCTCATGAAGTTTATTCCACACAATCGCAGTTCTCCAGATAAAAGAGTTCTTGAACAGTGAAGTTCGAGGTGTACTGAGTTGAACCTTAAAACGATAAGCAGCCACAGTTCGTCGCGTATTCCTGATATGTTCCGCTTTTGGTGGAATCAAATGTGCCAAGTCACTTGAACACTTCCTGTGAAAGTATATATAGAAGAGAGACAAATCTCCAACCTTTCTTCGATGTTCCAGGCTATCAAGGTTGCATGTGATATTCGCATCTCCAATCAGGCGGATGGCTATTTTCTGGATGGAATCCAGCAACTTGAGTGTATGTTTGACGGCAGAGCTGCATACATGAGAACAATACTCCAAAGAAGGTCTGATCTGAGCTCAATAAAGCATTAACAGTTGCTGAGGTATGTACAGTTTTCTGTTCGGAACAGTGTTCCAGAAACTTCTAATTAACGCTCATCGTGTATAGTAAACATTAACTTTATCATACACATGAAGCACATGCAAAAACGAAAATACTGAATAAGCTGCGGCACAAACACTCAGACTAATAATGAGAACCAACACAAACTCCAAACAATCTACAGAAATTTTTGCATAAATAAGGTACACACCATACTTCTAAGGTTGAAACAAGTAATGGTATTTTGGTTAATCGATAAAACTTGGATTTTTACCCAGTGAGAGAAGATAATTCGATAAAACATTCTGAGTTCAGTTTTGCCAACTATTCGTAATTGTCTTTGAAAATCGTTTGGATGGAACATTTTACCAGTCTACTGGTACATTGACCAGTCTACTGTACCTGTGCGAAAGTAGCGATTCACACTGGATTTGAATCGCGGGAGCTTGAATCCATTTGGAAAAACGTTCTCATGAAGTTTATTCCACATAATCGCAGTTCTCCAGATAAAAGAGTTCTTGAACAGTGAAGTTCGAGGTGTACTGAGTTGAACCTCAAAACGATGAGCAGCCACAGTTCGTCGCGTATTCCTGATATGTTCCGCTTTTGGTGGAATCAAATGTGCCATGTCACTTGAACACCTCCTGTGAAAGTATCTATAGAAGAAAGACAAATCTCCAACCTTTCTTCGATGTTCCAGGCTATCAAGGTTGCATCTCCAATCAGGCGGATGGCTATTTTCTGGATGGAATCCAGCAACTTGAGGGCATGTTTGACGGCAGAACTGCATACATGAGAACAATACTCCAAAGAAGGTCTGATCTGAGCTCAATAAAGCATTAACAGTTGCTGAGGTGTGTACAGTTTTCTGTTCGGAACAGTGTTCCAGAAACTTCTAATTAACGCTCATCGTGTATAGTAAACATTAACTTCACCATACAAATGAAGCACATGCAAAAACGAAAATACTGAATTAGCTGCGGCACAAACACTCAGACTAATAATGAGAACCAACACAAACTCCAAACAATCTACAGAAATTTTTGCATAAATAAGGTACACACCATACTGATTTCTGATAATATCGGGATCGCTTCCCTCCACTGCACCCCTTTGATTAACCGCCTCCACCATGAAATGTTGCTCAGACGTGGGGGTGAGCGGCGTCCTAACGCCTGTCACGGAGCCGTCTACGACGAGATCGTCGGCAGCGATGACCGCCTCCATGGGTTGGTGCTTGGATCCGTTGTCGGTGGGACGCGAACAGGGCCGACCACGATGGGGGTGGGCATAGTGACAGCGACAAAGGGCGGCCAAGACGAGGCAGACCCCCGTCGCCAGGCAGGCAGCTGTTCCCAGGAGACCGATGAGAAGGGGGCTCACTGGCATCACTCCTGTTGAACCTAGAAATGTGATATTATGGATAACATATCGGTGGCGGAAAACTGGTTGTTAATTCAATATTTGTTCTGAAAATAGAGGAAATATTATTGTTGCCGTGTAATATTTGTTTTCCATTCATAATTTTCCCTCACAAACTTCATATATGATAAATAATACGTGTGAAACATCATAAAAGGAAGATAAACCATACGACTGTGAATATGATGTCAAAAGGGACCCTTTATTCGGGTAACAAAACCAAAAATCAGATATTTGGCGCTTTTATTATAGAAAATCTTGTTGATCAGTCGTAGTCATTTAGAACTTGCTGGACGGTGTCTGAAGTCGAAATTATTATTTGTTTTGTTTCTAATAATCTATGATGAAGGGTGTTGTTTTCCTTACTGACATCATATTTCAAAATGTTGTTACTCGTCGTGAATTATAGAAGTCCGCAACAAGAAAGCTGCCAGGAAGTGCTCAGATGTTTTCTATATATTGAGGTGTTTTGAGAAATAAAAAAATACTCAAAAAACCAGAACGTCAGGTTATTTTGAAAAAACACAAAATTGTAACGGGGTTTTTGGGGTATCTTGAAGTCATAAATAAATGCTTGAAAAGAAGCTTAAAAGCAGTTATTCTTAACATTGGTGGTTTCTATGCCCCCATTTCTGTCATTTCGTAAACCTCGAGGAAAACTACAAGAACCTGAAACAGATTCTTCGCAAATTGAAATATGAAGACCACGGTTGACAAGTGTGCGGTGATTTAAAAATCCTGAGCATGTTGCTCGGACAACAATCTGGGTTCACCAAACTCCCATTCTTTTTTGTGTCTGTGGGATAGTAGAGACCGAGCAAATCACTGGACCAAAAAGTGTTGGCTTCCGAAGGATCTTAATTTTGGCGAGAAGAACGTCTTGCATGAAACTTTGGTTTCTCCTCATGAAGTTTTTCAACCATCGTCATTTTCGGATTCAGCACACCCAAAAATATAAGAATTACGCAAAAAACAAAACAACTCTCGAATGTAGACTTGTGAGAAATGAATTATCAATACAAGTGCAGAAGGGACGGTACCTGGAATAATGTTGGAACAGCTTTGAATCTTAAATGTGGTAATCACGCTATGAAAATAATAATTTTTTTCTTTATTGTTTACAGAACTGACAGTTGAAGGAGTACCAAAATTTTCATTCTGAACTAGTTTATGTTCTTGTTATTTGGTGCAAATCTTCAGAATTTGTTCAGAACAGATTCCTTCACACCATTACTTTCAGACGACTAGTTCACCATTCATGGTATTTGATCAAGAAATTGTGAGTGATTTAGGATTCGTGATTGAGCAATTACAATTGATTTCCTTCAGAATTTCCAGCAAATGAATTATACGTAAGATACTGTTGAGACTTCCAATACTGGCAAACAACTTCAACTCTCTATTTATATTGGGTCTATTCCATATAGTTATAGTACTAGAAACATTTAGAAATTATAAAGAAGTGTTCCCCCTTTGATGAAACGAATAAAACAAATCAATGGAACACAACAAGCTTGAAAAATTATCTAGATTCAGGATTTCAGGTAGTTCAATTGAAGATAAAAGAGGTCATAACGTTGCATACACGAACTGGTCTAGAACTACTGATACGATCGATTGTAGATCGAAATTTGGAATCACGGATACAACGTGTATCATCTAGTAGTGCTACTTCTGAAAGAAGTTGGAAAGTTGCAGAGGAAGACAGGAAGCGATGTCTCATTAGGCAGAAGAGTTCAAAATCTTACATCTATGTTAAGTTAAGGTTAAGTACTATTAATGGGATCGAAGACAAGTCGGAACAACACTGTCTGGTATTGGATCAAAGATTCACAGCATTTGTGCTCTGATATGACAGAAGATATTTCGGTTCAGCCATGAAATAGGACTCAGGAGATTTACGTGGAATTTTTAATGGAAGAATGTTAGCGATGATATACAAAGTTTAGCTTCGAACAACATGAATATTTTCCATACATTCAGTGACCACTTACATACAACTTTCTATATAAGAAACCCTCTTCATTGATTGACAGTAAAGATGGAAGCGACCACTTAAGCGACCACTTATAACGCTAGATAAGATGGGAGCTGATGTGAGTCTTGGATATTTTTGTCTTGAGATCTCGATTTTTATTGTATGTTCACATGTTTTTTATAAGAAAATCAAACTGCTGATTATTCAGGAATGGCTGATATATCCAAAAATAAAACAGTTTGAAATATGAAATCTGTTTGAAATCTGTTTTTCCGTTAACCAGCTGTTTATTTGATTTATTTGAATCCAAATATCAATTAAACTCTTCTCAAATGGATTATTTATTTTTTAAATTTTCCATACATAAAAGTTATTTACTGCATACATTTATATTTTGGAAATAGTAACTTTATTTTTCGAAAATACTTTTTCTAATAACTTTTTCACTTATAGCCGATTACATTTACACCTCAAATTTAAATTAAATCAGGAAAGGAATCGTATTTCGTGTGAAATTTTTTTATTTGTAAATTGCAAAGTGCTTTCGGCTGTTGCGCCATCATCAGTGTACCGAAATTCGATAAAATACACTCAAAAACTGATATGTAATGCAAAACGTAATGAAATGTAGAATACAAAAAAATGGATGTTAACGAAGTTGATGTTCAAAATGTTCATCGCGAACGTCCTGACAACATTCTAACATTATTTAACATATCAGGCGTGATCGACCAAATCGCAAGCGTTATTCGTTCTTTTGAGTCATTCAAATCTGAAGTTTCACTTTTGTACACATTGCTCTTAACATATCCCCATAAAAATAAATCTGATGATGAAAGATCAGTTGATCACGCTGGCCATTCAATCGATCCTCGCCTCCCTATCCACCGATTGGGAAATATTGTATCGAGGTATTGCCGGACATTAACTTGGTAATCTGGTGGTGCTCCACCCTGCTGAAATCATATCGTATTCACTGGAACTTGAGGATTTCCTGGATTAGGATATGAATTTGCTAAACTTGGAATGATATCATTTTGAAGTAGTGCCATATAATTATCGCCATTCAAGTTGCCCTCAACGAACAAGGTACAACCCTGCCCAAACATTAACCTTTTGAGGGTATTGCGTGTGTTCCTCTCTCATCCAGTGAGGATTTTCCGTTGACCAGTAGCATTAGCATGACCATTAAAAGAGAAAGTACACTTATCAGAAAACATAACTTCTTCTAATTGGATGACATTTTTATCCAACATATCTATCATTTACCCACAAAAATAAGTTCTTCTATCAAAATCGTCTTTCATGAGCTCCTGAGTGGGGATCATTTTATATGGATGCATTTTATTTTCTTTTAATATGTTTAGTATCGATGTATGGCTAACAATGAATGTAGTGGATACCTGTCTACTAGATGTATGGGGATTTTCCTCAAACTCAAGCATCTCATCTAATTTGAGTTCATCACTCATTGCATTGGCAGCTGGTTTTTCATCTGCCCCACATGACCAAGCTCACTAAACTGCTTCTCTATTTTGCTTAGTGTTCCTTGAGATATGGGCGGCAAATTAGGAAATTTCTCATGAAATAGGCGAGCTACCATCTGTTGGGTTCGGGTTTTACCTCTGTAACCAATCATTTCTAAAATTGTTATTATGAATTTCCTTTAATCAAACCATTTGTCAGACTTGAAGTCAACGAACTTTAAACTTACATTGAAGTACTGACAACTGATGTTGACGAGACATTTTGAACTAACGTTGCCACGGAAATTATATACAGTTTTTTAAAGGATACCATCTAAAAAGAACATTGCTATGGTTTTTGCTTACTTTCTTATTATCAATACCTCAACATGAAATAAGTTTTGAGTATATTGCAATAAGTTTTGAGTGTATTTTATCGAATTTCGGTAACCACATGATTTTAATTTATTTTGTCTTAATTGTTGCAATAAACTTGAAAGCGATGAAATTTTTGAATAGAGAATAAAGAGACCTTTCAAACGATATATCACAATCCTATACTTCCTATTAAAAAAAAGGCGGTAGGGGTAGTATTTTTCCGTTGAAGTATGTCAAATTATAATTTAAATTTGACGTGTTTCGGTTTTTTTTTAAAATATGTACCGTAACTGAAATAATGAATTTATTCCATGTTCACAAAGACCATTTTAACATTGCATAAGTTTGGTCAGTAATTTCTCAATCATTTCTCAATCAGCCTGTATAGTAAAACGTTTGCTTCGCTATAACGTACAATTTATCTCGAAATATTCCCCATGAGTACACCAAATTAACTTCACAAACATTACCAATTACAGTAGTTTCCAAATCTAATATTGTGATTACAAAGTCTGCTGTACTTCCAACGGGGAACGGTACACTTCACAAATTTGCGCACATTCTGGGAGTTGGGAGTTGCCTTGGAGAACGCCGCGGGTTCATTTATTGGGATTAATTAGTGAACTGTAAAAATTACGTTATATTGCCTTTGTACGCTTTCTGGAAATTTCCTTTGAGACGGTGCCGGCAGTGCGTTCGTTTGTTTGAGTCGACGGCCTGTTGAAAATTTGAACCGATTCGTCGTACGCCTACGAGGGGACAACATAATAGGTTTGTGACCGAATACTAGTTTTTCATGGAAGTGAAATCATTTCACAGATCCACGACAGGGGTATTGCAGCTCTGACTCTCTTCCAAGGGAAGAAACTGTCATTTTTTTAAAGGATGTAGTATATGTGCATAGTACTTTTCGGTTGTTAGTGGTGTCGCTAAAACATGTTCTATGAAATGACAGTTGACACTGACGGAAGAACAGAGATGTTGGCGTTGTTTGGTGAGACTAGACACGTGCATGAAATTGAGTACTATAAAATATAATATTATTGCTGTATATTATTATAAATAAGTATGTAAATAAAGCTTGTAAATAGTATTCATAGTGTATTAAATGATAACACAAAGGACAAAAGGAAAGCGCTACAGAAAAATCTTTGAGTCTCT